TCATTGACCAATTTGTCAAGAGTTTCCTTCTCTTTTAGTGCTGTGTTAGGCATGGAGTAAGTTACGATGACCCTTTCCCCATCTTCTTCCATCCTAATGATGGTGGCATTTGGTAGCTTGCTAGCTTCTTGCATATGATGTTTTAGACGTTTAGCCCTTTTTCTCAACTTCATCGATCTTTCCTTTCCCTTTGTCCATTCCTGCAATCTTTTTCCTTTTTTAAGGACTTGTGAATGAGTAAAGCTCATGAAGTAGGAAAGTAATTTATAGACAAAAGATATCGTGCGAATCTTAACAAAATCTTTTAGATACTGACATCATTTTGAAAAGATAACGAAAGATAGAGTCATAAATTAAAAGATCATAAACATGATAACATCACAACTTGTCACCGTGGCCTAACAAAGTTATTTAGGCTTTCTTTTTCTTGCTGCTTGCGGTGGACTTGAGAGGGGATGCTATCTTAGTAGGAGTGCTTGAGGGTGAGTAGTCAAAACTATCACTTAGTTCCAGCACACTGTCTTCCTTGACATATCCAATGGGGTTGCTAACAGAGTGAAATGATTCTCTTGACTCATTTTCGGTTGTGTCACGGAGAAGACTTTGTATGTGCTGTGAACGTTCAAGAAATTGATTGAACTCTTGCTCGGTTACTAGTGGCTTATTGAAAATTTCGCTTTTTCCCTCTTGTGCCTCCGTAATGGTTCTTTCACTTCCCGTACTCATACCTGCATATGCAAAAACAAACACTAGAATTTTTGTTAGATATGAATTCTTAACCTCGTAGTGTACCTTATTTATAAAGATCCTTGCGTGTGAGGATGGATCAAATCTTTTGATTATCGGGAGCAAGAATCTTTGCAGATTTGATTCTCTTGGCTTTATGTCATTTCAATCATTCCGAGTTCATGCCTTAGAGAGGAAAATCTTGCTTCACTCAAGGGTTTTGTGAGTATATCTGCAAGTTGGTCATCAGTGTTAACATACTCAAGAGATATGTCTTTCTTCTCGACATGATCACGAATGAAGTGATATTTGATGTCAATATGCTTAGTCCGAGAGTGTAAGACAGGATTATGTGTAATGGCAATTGCACTTGTGTTATCGCACTTAATGCTCACTTCTCGTGCATTTATACTATAATCATTCAATTGATGTCTCATCCACAAAATTTGAGCACATCAGCTTCCAGCTGCTATGTATTCGGCTTCAGCCGTACTTGCAGCAATAGAGTGTTGCTTCTTGCTAAACCACGAAACAATTCTTCCTCCTAGGAACTGGCAGGTTCCTGAGGTACTTTTTCGATCAATTCGACACCCTGCGAAATCAGCATCTGAGTACCCAACTAGATCAAATGATCCTTCTTTCGGATACCAGAGACCGACACTTTGCGTTCCCTTAAGATATCTCAGTATCTTTTTAGTTGCACCAAGGTGACTTTCTTTCGGTTTGGCTTGAAATCGTGCACATACACCAACAGCAAACGAAATGTCAGGTCTGCTTGCTGTTAGGTATAAAAGAGAACCAATAATGCCTCGAAAGTTTGTTTGATCAACATCTTTTCCTTCATTATCAACATCCATTCTGAGGGATGTGCTCATTGGAATTTTGACCGAACTTTTTCCATCAATGACAAATTTTCGGATTAAATCCTTGGTATATTTGGCTTGATTTATGAATATTCCATCTGGGCATTGTTTGACTTGCAAACCCAGAAAATAGTTTAGTTCACCCATCATACTCATCTCAAATTTGCCTTTCATAAGATTGGAGAACTTTTCACACAAGATTGGATTCGTGCTTCCGAAGATAATGTCATCAACGTAGATTTGAACTAAAAGAATATGGTCATTATCTTTTATACGAAAGAGTGTTTTATCAACCACTCCTTTCGTGAAGCCACAGTTGATAAGAAAGTATGAAAGAGTATCATACCAGGCTCGTGGAGCTTGCTTTAAGCCATAGAGAGCCTTTTTGAGATGATAGACCTTTTCAAGCTCATTATTGATTGCAAAGCCAGGTGGTTGTTCAACATAAACTTCTTCTTCAAGAAGTCCATTTAAGAAAGCACTCTTGACATCCATTTGATAGACTTTGAAATTCTTATAGGCTTCAAAAGCTAGGAATATGCGAATAGCTTCCAATCTAGCTACAGGGGTGAAGGTTTCACTAGTACAAAAAAAAACTTTCTGAGTCACCTATATAGCACTTTCCGAGTCACCTTTACAGGTGCCTCTGATTCTTGAGCCTCTGAAAGTGGTTAACTTTCCGAGGCACCCGCATAAGGTGTCGCGGAAAGCTAACCAAGGATTTTTAATATTTTTTTATACAGACTTTCCGAGGCACCTGCTCTGCTGCAGGTGCCTCGGAAAGTATTTTATTTATTTTTTATTAATCCACATCCGTGACACCCACACACAGGTGGGTGTCACGGAAACTATTTTTGGTTTTTTTTTTAATAATTTCTTTCCGAGGCACCCTCAGCACTGAGGGTGTCTCGGAAAGTCACCATTTAAAAAAAAATATTATATATATATATATATATATATATATATATATATATATATATATATATATATATATATATATATATATATATATATATATATATATATATATATATATATATATATATATAGCTAATTTAATCAACCAATGAACAAATTACAGTCAAAGAAAGGAAAAGTTTAACAAAAGAAATGTTTAACAAAATTATACAACGTTGAAGATCTTTATTTATATATCAATAACTAGCAGAAGAGAAAAATATATCTTGCTTCCATGTGAAACAAGTAGATACAAGTTGCAAATTAAAGAAGTACGATGTGGAAAACAACTATGCATACAAGAAATTGATCCTATGATATGGAGTTTAAATGCTAAGCAGCATAATATTAGTAGTTGTTGGAACCTTGCATTGCTGATTATATATCCACCCTTCACCAAGCTCCACCTCCATCATCTTTACAACTTCCTGAACTTGCCAACATAATCATCCAAACAACAGAAAACCTGAATGTTGCATTTCAACTCAATCACTTCATTGTATAGCCGCTTCCTCCCTGAGCACTCATCAGGATATCTTTTCTTCAAAAGGGCACACTCTTCGTCATATTTCCTCTTAAGAAGTTCATGTTGCACACTTAAGAACAACCCAAAGCAACTACCATAATTAAACCAAAGAAAAACAAAAAGAATAACCAAGGAGAGTAATGCAGACTAGAAAATTAAACCAAGGAGAGTAATGCAGACCAGAAAAAGCCAAGAGATCAGTCTATCAGAAAAGAGACATAATAAGATCCTTAAGAGCACAGAAAACTTCAGGACAAGGAAAAGAATCTCCAGTGATACCCTTCACTTCATCACTTAAAGCTGCATGTTCTTCTCTCAATTCCTGCGAGGAAAATAAGAGCAGAATATTAAAAGGAGAAACTCAAGGAAACTATGCCAAGTTTCATTTCTCTCAACATAAGAATTCAACCATGAAGTCAAAATGCTTACATGTACTTTAGTGGACAGGTCTTCAATTTTCTGAAAAATAGGAAGAGTCTGTTCTTGGTACGAAATTTCTGGGGTGTCACTTGAAACAATACTCTCATCCCCCAAATCAGTGTTCACTTCTACTATTTCTGAATCAATCAATTCCACAAAACAAAGGTCAGTTCCAAGAATCAGGTGAAATGAGAAACCGATGCTTTTAATATTTTCTGTTGTACAAAAAGTTCAATTACAGACTTTCAATCCATTAATATAATCAATACTTTTAAGTATGAAAGGAAAAGCATGGTTAACAAAATGTTCTTCCAATTTCATCAAATTTAAGTGAAAATCAGAAATTCTACTTCCTCCAAATAAAATAATTGAGTTTCTCTGTTATTTTATTTGCTTCAGTTTGCTAAGTTCTAGACTACTGGTTCTCGCAGGACAAATGAGTTACAAAAGACCAACTGGAAAGATAGTATATAAAGAAGATTTAAAATCAAGTTCAGCTCGTTACCTGAATCATGGTATACTGCTTTTTGACACCATGAAACTCAAGTTCAAGAACAGTGTCCTGCAAAAACAATGTGATGAGTGCATGGAATCACATCATAAAATGGCTAATGCATGGATAATGACAATAAATCACATCCTTTATGTGACTTAGAAGGATGATATTTTTAAAAGGAAAACCTTCAAAGAGTAGTGGCTTGCTGGTGCAATGTAAGTTATCTTTCACATGGCATCCGGAGGAAGTGTCACATGGTGTTGCATTAGACTATTCTCAATGACGTTCTGAAAAAAAAGAAATCTATTAGTGCAAAGATTTATTTGAAGTGTACTAAAACAAACAGTTCTTGAACTTCTAAAAGCGAATCTGGGCTGCAATTCACATACTGCATAGAGGTCTCCACTTGTTAAGAGGTCCCCATCACCTGACATCAAAATAGTATTGTAATATATCAATCAGCCATGACAAATTCACAGCAAGAACGAACCTTTATATATGAAAAGGACAAAAGAAGCAGCACACAGATGGCATCAAACTGGGCAATACAAGATCAGTTCCAACAACCCAAGATCAAGTTTTATGTGCCCTGCATAATTTGGTTCAGATTCATGAAATCATTTGTTAATAAGACTCAAGAGTTGATAGAGGAGAATACAGAAGTATCAGAGTTGACAAGAGACAAAGACATGAAAACCGAGGTAACATAATACTTCATTAGACAAATCATTCAGAAAACTCAGACAACAATCGTTCCACTGATTTAGTGATTACAACGTGTGTATCTCTCGTATTATATACAAACTAAAGTCCCTTCTTTTGTCTATAAACTAGACAGCAAGAAGTTGAACTCGACGCAGAAAAACAGAAGGGTTCATATAATATAGATAAAGGAAATACTCTGCAGTTTCTTATTCAAGCAAATATAACTCCTAATGGTAGTCTAAAATAAATCCTTTAAGAGTTCCAATGGCAACCTAAGTGAGCGTGTAAGTACGAAACATACCGTCTTTGAGCATCGTAGATGGCAGTCTCCTACTCTGTCAACTCCCCTCGCTCCATATTCCCGAACAAAACAGCCTGTAACTCAAAACGAAACTCCATTTGTTCGTTTCCATAGTTAACAAATAGCCTCGGAAAATATAAATCTAAAAATTAGGGTTTTGAATTATGAAAATCGGTAAGAGTAAAGCACCAGTAACAAATTTGAAAGCAGTGGCGGTGGCAAGTGTGGCTGAGGCTTCGGCGGTGGCTGTCGGCTGTCGTCGTCGGCGAAGGAAGAGCGGCGGCGGAAATGACGATCTGTTCTGGTCTCAGACGTCTTCGGAAATGAGAGGGCGAGAGGAAGATCGGCTGTCGGTTGTCGTCGTCGGAAATGAGAGGGCAAGAGAGGGCAGCGAGCAGAGATGCAATGGAAAAATGGCGCGGAGAGGGAGAGGGAGAGGGAGAGAGAGAGCGTGAAAGCTAAGCTGAAGCTTCGCGAGAGAGAGAGAGAAAGGGGCAGATCTGTTCTTATTATTATATTTTAATTTTAATAATATAATATTAGCGGCACCTTCCTTAAAGGGTGCCGCGGATATCCTTATTATTATTTTAATAATAAAATATCCGAGGCACCTTCTATAGAAGGTGCCGCGGGGATACCCATATTATTATTTTAATAATTTAATATTCGTGACACCCTTTTTCAGTTGGTGTCGCGGATTTCTCAATTATTATTTTAATAATATTATTTTTGAGGCACCTTTAATCCATTGGAGACGCGGAAAGGTATACGATTTTTTTCTACAACACCTTCATGGTGTAGGTGTCATGGAAAGTGGGCGTCCATTCTAAATTTTGTACTAGTGTTTCATCAAAATCAATGCCTTCTTCTTGGCAATATCCCTTAGCAACAAGACGAGCTTTTTTCCTAACAATGAGCCCATCTTCACTCATTTTGTTTCTAAACACCCATTTAGTTCCAAAGACATTCTGATGAGATGGTCTCGGAACAAGTTCCCATACCTTATTTCGTTCAAATTGATGAAGCTCTTCTTGCATGGCTATTACCCAGTCAGGGTCTTTTAGGGCTTCTTCTATGGTTTTTGGTTCCATTTTTTACAAGAAGCATGCCATCATACTTTCGTGTAGAGAGGCTCTTGTTCTTACACCTTCTTGAACATTTCCAATAACCTGATCTGATGGATGATCTCTTAACCATCGAAGGTCTGGTTCAAAAGCATCTTGTTGATTTTGAGCATCCATTTCAGGAATATATGGTAGATCAATGTATATCATTGGTTCAGATGTTGTGGTACTTGTAGGATCATTCTGTTGAATTCCAACCTTTTCTTGAGACACAGGTTTGGGTTCTGAAACCTTTAGCTGATATTTCGTGTAGGACGAAAGTATGTCTTCTTCGTCTGAGATATCTTCGTCAACAGGTTGCTGAGGATTTTGACTTGACTTGATTGATGTTTTACATCCAGATGGATTCTTCTCAGATTGTTCATCAAACTTGACATGAATGGATTCCTCAATTACCATTGTTCGTTTGTTTAGAACTCTGAATGCTATGCTTACTGAGGAGTATCCCATGAATAGCCCTTCATCAGCTCTTTCGTCAAAAGCTCTTAGATGATTCTTTTCGTTGTTATGTATGAAGCACCTGCAACCAAAGACATGAAAATAACCGATACTAGGAGTTTTACCTTTCCATAGCTCATACGGTGTCTTGTTGTGAGATTTGTTGATCAAGGATCTATTTTGTGTATAGCATGCCGTGTTTATGGCTTCGGCCCAAAATCTCTTAGGTAGTCCTGAGTGCGAGATCATCGTTCGTGCAGCTTCTTTCAAGGTTTTGTTTCTCCTTTCGGCCACTCCGTTTTGCTGAGGAGTTCGTGCTGCCGAGAGTTGATGAAAAATTCCATTTTGCGCACAGAATTCCTTTATGACTTTGTTGACAAATTCTGTTCCCTGATCTGATCTTATTCAAATTATTTTGACCTCCTTTTCTGTTTGAAGTTATCTCAAAAGATTTGGAAGAGCTGTTTCTGTTTCATTCTTCTTCTTCAAGAAAAGCACCCATGTATATCTTGTGTAGTCTACTATAACAAGAGTATACTTTCTTCCACTCAAACTTGCTGGATCTACTGGTCCGAAGAGATCCATATGTAGAAGGCTTAGAGATCGAGAATTTGCATCTATATCTTTTGACTTAAAAGATGACTTGAATTGCTTCCCCTTTTGACATGCCTCACATATTTTATCTTTCGTGTAAGATACTTCGGGTAGCCCTCTTACGAGATTTCTTTTGGCAAGTTTGTTTATCGTCTTCAAGTTCAGATGACTTAGTTTGTTGTGCCATTCTTGATTGAGATCTGCATTACTTTTAGCTACAAGACAAATGTTAGCATTAGAAGAATTTAAAGATAATACATACATATTCTTCTTTCGTTGACCCGTTAAAGCTGTCTTGTTATCCTTCGTGTTCACGATTTTGCATTCGTCTTTGAAGAATTCTACTTTGTATCCTTTGTCACAAAATTGACTTGTGCTTAGGAGATTGAACTTCAGTCCTTCAACATAAGAGACATCTTGTATCGTTATCCCCTTTTTGATGATGTCCCCTTTTCCACGAGTTTTGCCGTTGTTTTCTCCTCCAAAGATAACTTTGGGTCCATCTACTTCCTTAAAGTTGCTCAACATTGTTTTATCACCAGTCATATGTCTTGAGCATCCACTATCAATATACCATATGACCTATTTTTCCTGCATCAAAGATTATGTATTTTTAGGTACCCATTTAGTTTCGGGTCCTTGGGGGTTAACAGTCAACTTTGGAACCCACATCAACCTAGAGTATCCACGGCTCATCCTCGGTCCTCTATATCCATTAGATGTACGATAATCATAGTGAATGCTAGCAAAGACTTTAGCATTATATTTCTTACGTTGATCTTCCTGAGGAAGATTTTCATAATGCTTGAGATGATTGGTTTGTTTACGCAGATGAACCTTTTCAAATACTGCTCTAGGGAGAGGTTCTGGGTAATCAAACCAATCTTCTTCTGATGGCCCAGTCCATCCATTGCCATACCCAGATCTTTTGAAGAATCTTTCGGGTTGTCTGATTTGTCCGTTTCTTGAGATTCCTTGAGCAGGATTCTTTCGTGTGAATTTCGGACGATATTGCCTCTGGTTAACATTCGTCTTTTTATTGGATTGAGTGTTCCAGTTAGGCTGACCTCTTTTATGGTGTAGATTCTGTCTATTGCCATTTGGTCCATTCCTTTTGACATAGATTTGTCTAGGATTGCCATTACCGGATTTCTTCTTTCCAGATTCCACAATTCGTTGTACAGCCGTACCTTTCGGTTGGCTTGTTGATTGTGGTGTTTCGACATTGTTAACTACCATCATAGGCTCAGACACCTGGGTGGGTCCTTGAACAAATGCCGCCTCGAAGCTTTCGTGTGAATATGCATTCGTGGATTTGTTCAATTCGACTTGTGAAGAGGAGCTGGGGTTAAAACCAATTCCAGCTCTTTCCCCGGGCAGTCTGGATTCATTCATCATTCTATCCATTAGGTTGGATGAATTATTGAATTTATCCAAGACTTCAAGCAGTTCTTGCTCTCTCCTCTCTTTTGCTATGCATTGCTCCTTTAAAGCGAGAACATCTTTCTCAAGCTGCTCCTTAGCAATGACCAGCACATTGTTCTCAATACGAACTTGCTTTAGTTCATTGTAGCTAAGCATGAGCCGAGAGTTCTCCTCCTTGAGTTTGGAGTAAGTGCTATTTATTACTTTGAACCTCCTCATCATTTCGGTGACAGATTCATTGGAGGTAAGACTTCCCACAGAACTTGACTCAGCTAAATAACAAGAGGATGAATGAGAGTTTACCTCGTCTTCATCTGCCATGAGGCACAGTTCGTCTGACTCCTGACTGAATAAGCACAACAGTCCTTTCTCCTCATCAGTGTTTTCGTCTTCTGAGCTAGAGCTTGAGGAACTACTTTCGGTTGCAACTGTGTCAGAAGTTTCGTTTACTACCATTGCCTTCCTTCTTCCTTCATTTCTGGAGTTTGATGATTCAGGCTTGTCGCTCCTTTTATATCTTTCTCCAGTCTCTTTTGAGGGACTTGTGGTAGTATTGTTATCTTGATGCTTGCTCACTATAGGATGAGGACAATTCGCCTTGAAGTGTCCTGGCTTTCGACAATTATAACACAATAGCTACGAGTCCATGGTTTCGGTTTTTGAGGTTTGAGGGAAGCTCTCGTGCTTCTTTCGGTGGCCCGATCGTTGTGGGTCTTGAAAGTTGTTCTTTCTCATGAACCTTTTCATTTTCCTGACAAATAGTGCATATTGTTCATCAGATAAAAAATCACAAGAGTTAGATTTTGACCTGTTGGATGTTGATGCTGATTGATTTGCCATGAGAGCAATGTTTCTTGTTTCTGAATCTTCGGCATCTTTCGGTTCATGTTCGAACTCATAGGCTTTGAGATCACTGAAAATTTTGGTCGTGCTTGTTGTTTTCATATCTCGACTATCCCTCATTGCGATAACCTTCACTTCCCATGATTTTGGTAGTCCACGAAGGATCTTCAGATTCATCTCCTTCTCAGTTAGCTCTTTTCCAAGGTCTGATAAATCGTCCATCAGTCTGGTGAATCTGAGTTCCATATCCATGATTGATTCATTTGGCAGCATTTTGAAATCTTCAAATTTTTTCATAGCCATTGTCAGCTTGTTGTCCTTTTCTTGCTCATCTCCCTCTCCCAAACTCATTAGGACATTCCATACTTCCATGGCATTTTTACACTTTCGGACTCTAGGAAACAAGGAATCATCCAGAGAGTTGTAGAGAATATTTCTTGCTATATTGTCCAGATTTGCTCTTGTTCTCTCGTCCGTGGAATATTGGTCTTTCGGCTTTGGTATCACCTGTGCAGCTCCTGCTCCTTGTGCGGCTGCTTGTGCATTCGCCATCATGACAATGATTGGTCCGGTTGTTATGACGTCCCACATTTCATCATGAATGGAGCATAGGAGAGCCTGCATTCTTAATTTCCAGTCATCAAATTTAGCAAGAC